TTAGGAGTTAACATTTCTTTTGCTGCTTTAGCTCGGATACAAAAAGTTGTTTTCCAAGCTGTAAAGGCCTCCACGATATTTATTTTATAATTTTTGCTGCGGAATATGAACTCAGACGAATGTAATCCAGCAGTGACAGGAACAAATTGACGACCTTCATACTGTCTTATAACCAGAAGTGGTGCATATCCGATTCCTCCCCACAATACGAGCAGCATTACCCAGTTGTAATCACCACATTTGTAAAAGAATTCCCTTTGGATTTGCCACGGGGCTCGCCAAACAATGTCATCGCTTTACAAATTTTGAAATACATTAATCCACATATCTTTCGTAATTTCTTTCGGCCATTCTTGCTCCAGAAATTCTTTCAATGGTGAATAGTCCGTATTAAAGCGCCGGTATGAAACCTTTTTTGTCCTCCAAAAATGGCTACGGATCCAGACATATAATAATTGGGCACATCCTGAGAATCGTCCACCTCCTAACTTCCTACAAGCGTTTAACGATCTGAAAGTCTCTGCTAGAATTGCAGAAGCAAGATTAACCCTTTTTGGTAGTTACTCAAACAAATCTACTACAACTTCAATATATCCCAATACTTTCGGGAAAATGACCATACCATACATACCAGAGCAAAAAGACCGAATCGTACTTTATCATCTAGATGAATCTGAATAAGTTCTTTAATGTTGGTCCAAGCAATGCCTTCACTTTCGCCCTTTTGTTTTGTACGGGATACCACCCATTCCTCTCGTACTCCGACAATCTTTGCTAATTTAACTCGAAAAGGTTGAGTTTTAATTCACCTTGAATAAATTCGATTCTCCAAAGCCCCTTCTATATGTAGTAAAGTTGTGTACTCTTCAATAGTAGGAACCAAGTCCTGCTTATTGAGAGTGAAGCAATTATACCCTGGATTCCAGAATTGAATTAGGGCTCGAAGTAAGTCATCATCAACTTCGACATAGAGCAAATATGGGATATCCCCGTAAGTCTGATAGAATTGTAACTTTTTGTTTGAGTCCCAACTCTCCCAAATGCCTCGCAAATCTTGCATATCATTTCTTTTTAGCGAAACTAGAGCATAACTGGCTAACTCAAATACATAGTCATCTTGCAGACTGTCTCCCCCTTGTCTTTGTAAGTCCTCAGTCCACTGTCTTACTTCGAAGTTTGGAACTATTTGATTTGAACACTTTTTATCCATAGATGAAGGTTTTCCAATGAGACGATTAACACGAGGATCAATGCCTTTTATCCTGTATGATGCTATGCAAACAAAAGAAATAAAAAAACACACAAAAAGAAATGAATTAGTTCACATAATAAAGGAAAAAATTAATTTAATAATAATGTCTACCTAAATATCTTTATTTAAACATGCTTTCTTCATACGTTAAATATATTAAATTCACATGCAATTTATTCATTAAGAAAATAAATAAATAAATAAAAAGGAAAAATTAGAATTCATTTCTCCTGTGTGTACACCTATTTTGGACAAAATTTTGGCATGACTTCATATCGGAAGAGTTTCTAGGGTTTATTATATGCAGGGTTTCAGATCTAAGAATAAAGGTACCGAAATTGTCCTTGTTAGTGCCCCCTTAGGCTGCTAACCCTCAATCCTAGTCCATCACAGACTAAAGTGGATCGAGTTCAATTCGAGGGGATACACTTCTCTATGCCTGACACAGAGAATAAATTCTCACGAAGACATAGAGCATATGAACCCCGAAAGTTACTTGCTAGGTCTGACACGGAGAATAAATTCTCACGAAGACGTCGCTTTCACTCCCACTTAAAAGGGACAAGCTTGATTATAAAGCTTATGTTATGCAATGCAAGTGATGTGTGTGAGAAGAAATGTTCAAACCTCTGACAGACAATAAAATTTAATACTTGAAAAATAAAATAAAACATTAATAAAATAATATAAATATTATGAAAATAATAAATATATATAATTTTTTTAATAAAATATATGAATTTTAAATTTCTAATTAATAGAGACAATTTATAATTGATTTTAAAAGCTTGACCAGTCCCCAGTGGAGTCGCCAAGCTGTCGTAACAGGTTTTTGTTCGGGCACGAATTTTTACTTGGTGGGGATAAAAATAATTTTGATTAAAAAATGTTTTGGGAGTCGCCATTGACCTTTTAGGGTTAGGTAGGTAAAATACCTGAAAAAACAATCTTTTAAAATAGTTTTGAATAAATCATAATTTAAAAGATAAAATTGATCTGCGTATAACCCAAAATTTTAGTAAAACATGATTCGTGGTCGATTACGTTTAGGAAAGGATTAGCACCCTTATAACGCCCAAAATTGGTACTTTATTAATTATAAATTGTCTCTATTATTGGAAATTTAAAATTTCAAAGATATATTTAATTCATAATATTATTATTTAAAATTTATAATTTTATGAAAATATATTAATTTAAATATAAATAATATATTTATTTATTTAGAAATATCAGAAAAGAGCTTCTAGGTGTTTTAAGACAGCTCTTTTCTTTGATATTAAAAAATAAATAAAATGTTCCTTAAAAATTAGTATATTAAAAAATATCAGAAAACAGACTTCTAGGTGCTTTAAGACAGTCTTTTTCTTTAATATTATTAAAATAGGATTATATTTTTTTATATAAAAATAATTTATATAAAAGAAAAATAAAATATATATTATTTCTTATATATATATATTTATAATAATAATATTTTAAATATATTGATAATAAACATATAAAATTAAAACAATAACTAAAATAAATGAAATTAAAAATATTAAACTAATAATTTAAAGTTAATGACTAAATTAAAATATATTGGAATTAAGCATCCTAATTCGTAATTAATTACTTGAAATTTTAGTGGCTAAACATGTTATTTTACCCCTTTATTAATTCAGTGACTAAATTAAAATTATGTAAAATTTGAACATCAAATTAAAATAAATTAAAACATGTTGTTCAGGATTAAAATATTAATTTCTAAAATTAAAGGACTAAATATGTTATTTACTTAAAATATATATAATTACAGTTAAGGACTAAAATACATGTATGTAAAATTAGAAAAACTGAATTAAAAGAATATAAAATTTGATTTAGTGACTAAAATATAAAGTTATATAAACTGATGGGTTGCAGATGGGGTTTACCTATATGTGTAAATTACGCATATACCCCCACCCAAAACGACACCGTTTTGGATGGGGTATATAATCCCCAAACGATTGGCCCTACGGGCCAGCACTCTCATTTCTCCTCTTCTTCTTCTCTCTCTAACTGAGAGAGAATAAGATTCTCTCGTTTCTCTCTAGCTTCCCTTACCGGAGGGAAGTCGGTTATCGGCCGGCAACCGTCTGCCGCCGCCTTCCTCGCCGCCGGCCACTATTATCGGTGGTCGGAAAATTCTAAAATCTCTCAAAACATAGATCGGGACGATCTAAAACTGAATCCGACCCCCTTTTCCCACAAAGCATCTCCTATTTACATAGATCTACAAAAAGTACCTTCGGTATTTTGCTTCTACGGCGGCCTATGAACTCCGGTGGCGTCGCAGCTTCTTCGGTAAGGCTTCTCTCAATTTTTGTTTCGATCTTTTGATGGTTTGGTTGTTGTGTTCTTTTGCTTCTCTCTCTCTATTTCGCAGGTTCGATGGCTCTTATAGCCACCACTGAACCTCCTTCAGATCGGGTAATATGGAGGTTTTTAGTGAGTCACCAAACTATTGTGGTGACTCACCTTGTAGCTTGCGACGTGAGCGGCTGTGTTGGGATCTTTGGAGGCTTCGGTTGACGTCGTGGCAGCAGAGGTTGAGGCGGTGGTAGCGGCTGACTGATGAACGGCGGCCATGTGGCCCTAGGGTATCATAACCCTAGGGTTTTTTACTGGGACCACCTGTACCGTTGGATCAGGGTTAGATCCAACGGTGGAGAAGCAAGGCGGCTGGAAGCATCTGGAAACCCTACAAAGGTTAGGGTTTCTTGGGTCTAGTGGGTCTGAACTGGATTGGGCCTCCAGGTTTTGTAAAACGGGCCTTCGGGTCTGGTTGTATTTTGTAATTGGGCCAGTATGTTTGGGCCTGAAATATGAAATAATTATTTATTATTTAATAATAATAATAATAATAATAATAATAATAATAATAATAATAATAATATATAAATAATATTCAAAATGAAAAAAATGAGTATCTTCAACTTCAACATGTGATTCACATGTAGCAATTATCATATATTTCAAAGAATTTATCGACCACTACAATTAAAAAAAGCATTATGTCGGTTTTTTTTTTTTTTGAGCTCAACATAAACAGAAGGGAATCCAATCACCAATCTTTCACAATTAACAGTCAGCCCTTATCAAGCCTACCTTCCATGTACATGCAGGTTAAGAACCCAAAATTAAAAGGGTGCAAGTAAACCTATGGTACTCCAACTCTTCATTTCTCTTGATGTATCTGTGTCTAGCACATGTGTCCAACACATAGTTGAACATAGATATGGGACTATGCTACTCCGGGAACCCTCCAAATACATGGAAATCTACGAAAAAGTTAAGCATACCCATAGTAGAGACACACCCATGTCCAAGAATCACACGTAAGTCAGAGTAACATAGAAACAATTGCAAGAGTAATTGACAATGCGTATTAAGAGACTTCATAACCCATGGAGCTACCTAGTTATTTGTGAGCAATAATTTTCGGAATATAAATTTATTGTTTGAATTAGTTCCACTTCAAAAAAGAATAGATCCAAATTGCTAGTCAAAAGTGAAAGGTGTGAATATGAGAACTCGTATGTCATTGATGTAGATGGCAATTCATGCATGTATGCTACATCGAGAACATTAGACTGTTCATCCAAACATCTATCACAGGAAACATAAGCGAAACTAGAACCAACCTCCGGTACAAGATAACACAGCCTTCTTCCTCCAGTGTCAAAGAAGAAGGAAAAATCCGAAGGGTCGTCATGTAGGCGTAGGCTTGAATGAGGCAAATCAGCAAGATAAACCCAATTCCTTGAGGTAACCAACACATTCTCACACTTAGTATCACCTAAAACAATTTTGAAAGTACACAACAACTGAAAACAGCATACACATTTGAAATCAGACGATCAAACAAATAAAATCCTTTGTAACTAACTAAACTGACCATGGCATATCCCCTTCTCGTGACACTGCTTCGCTGCAAGAAGCAACTACATCACCACCAAAAAAAAAACTGACACGAGCTTTACTCATCGAAACATAAGAGAGTAAGATTCCAAAGAGGAAGTTATGTAAACAGACCTGAAACGCCAACCATTTCTTTTCAACGAGACTCAGAAAAAGCCGAGTACTCAATCGATCATGTAAGTTATTGAAAAAATAGTGCCTTAATAAATATGCTGCCTTATCTGTTTCTAGCCAAAACTGTACGAAAACCAACCATTCCAATCAGAAAAGCGCCGGATATAAATTAAAAAAAAAAAAGTAATCTCAATCTCAGGAATCAGTGCAATGTAGATGGGTCTGACAAAAAAAATATATCAATGAATTTAAGTCATGTTCAAGCTAAATCGATATTAAACAGTAGGAATCCAGATTGTTAAAAGGAAATAAAAGAAATGAGAGAGAACCGGTGACCTGGAAGGGCCAAACATAGGGATGCTCAAGGGAGCAGAATATTACCCTGATGTCTAGACGGCGCTCGTACTCGCGAAGATAGATGGAATCGCCTCGTTTGAAGTAAACCTTAACAAGAACGACGCCTTCGTCGTGCTTACACAGGATCGACTTGAAGAATCGGCCTCGACCGAGCACCTCCTTCAGCACCACATTGTACGAAGACGGCAAGTCGTGCAGGTAATACTCCGTTGCCGAGACCTGCGTCGTTCGCGCGATCTTGTTCCCCATTGAGCATTTGAGTTTTCGCTGCCACTTTAAGAAATTTTTATATTTATTTTCTATCGGAGCATCGTCTCAAAGAGAAGTTTTGCTTCGGGTTTCGGGTTATGGGTTATTAAGACTGAGACAATGAGCAGGATCAGGAGTTCGCAGCAAAATGCCTAAGGGACTTGGAAATAGTTTTTTAAAATTATTATTTTAGCGTTCCAATTACATTTAGGAAATTTTGTGTTTTTTTGTGTGTTTGGCTAATTTATTTATTTTTATTAATATAAGATAACATAACGATCTTAAATAATAAGAATAATTGTTTTATTATTGAAGACACTCAATTTCGTCTTTTATTATTAATATTATTATATTATATAATATTACATATTATATTGTATAATTATATATAATATTAATAACTGTATTTACATTTGCAGGCCCAAATATATGGCTCAAAATCACTACACAACTCCAACAGCTCACCATGCGAAACCCTAACTCTCCCTCAATCTCCACCAACGCCGCATCCATCCCAACCATCCCAACGTCGAATCCGAGTTTCACGACAGCACGCCCCCATCTCCGAAGCATTCGACGCAAGCAAGACCATCACCAGCAAACAAAGTGTCAGAGTTCTACTAGGACTCAAACTAGTCTAGAAATAGCATTATTTGTACTATAAATAAATCGACACACACACAAGAGGAGGACGAGTTTACACTAGGTTACACTAGAAAGCACGAGTTGATATAAACATATATTACACCAAAATACCAGAGAAACTACAAGGAAATTAAGAGAAAAAATATGTAAAATTTCGAAAGTTTATTCGAAATAAAAGGTACTTTTTTCCTTTTTCGCGTGTTATTCGATCTGCATGGGGCCTTTTTTATTTTGTTTCGTTGTTCCGATTTGAAAAACACCAAAAATCATATTTGTTTTGGCATGTGAACACAAGGGAACCGAGGTTATTTTCTTAGATCTGCGATTCCCTGAGGTCGATTTGTACAAACTGGTTAGATTTTTAAAACGAGGGGTTGAAAGCTTTCAGAAAAAGGGGTTTTTTTTAACTTTTACCGCCGATGATCGGCGACCGGCGCACACAGCCAAATTCTGGAAATTTGGGATGTGTTCTTCATGTGTGAAGAACAGACGAGAGAACGAAGGATTTGGGGATAGGGCTCTCAGCTTTCGAACAAGGAGAATGAAAAATAAAAGAAATTTAACTTATATACTCGGCCCGTGAACACCCGCGCAACCCGACCCGTCAGCGGCTAGATCCACGTATTTTCGTTATAAATGGGGTAAACCCACGATTTGGTCCTCCTGATTTTCAAACTTTTAATTTTCCCCCTAATCCGGCTTTAATCTTCAATGTTCTTTGACATTTGCCCATTGATTTAGCTTTTATTTCAATTTAATCCCCTACTAATATTATATATGTTTAGTTATATGTCCATTATTAGTATTTTTATATTTATTTCATTGATACTTTTTTTTTGTATATATATATATATATATATATAGTTTTTTACTTATGTATTTATATTCTTTATAATTTCTTTTATTTTTACTTCTTTTTATTATTTACTATTTTTTCATTTTTATACTTATTATACTATCATTTTTGTTTATACCTTATTTATAAGTTATTATGTATATATACATATTTTTATATAACTAGTATTATTACTATTTATTTTGGCTATTAACGTATATATTTATATTTTTATAATTATCATTATAATGGTTATTACTATTTTCCTTTTAACATATATTTTACTTTTTTTTCTTTATTTTATTTAATTGTTTTTCTCCCTTCATTTATTTTCTATCTCATTTGTATTTTTTCTTATTTATTTTTATTATCGTTTTATTTATTTGTTACATTATTATTATATTCTTTACTTCATTCGTTTTTCTTGTTCATTTTTACTTTTACTTCTTTTATTTTCTTATTTTTTATCTCATTTTGTTTATTCACGTTATTTATGTGTTTTCTTTGTTTTATTTATTTTCATTGTCTTTTACCTCTAACGTGTGTCTCGACCTTTTTTTAAAGGATATTTTCAAATTAATCTAAGGTAAGTAATTTTGGATCATAATTTTACCTTTTAAGTTAAACTTACATTTTTCTTACTTAATGACAACTGGAAATTACGTAGTGCCAAAAGGGCAGTTCAATGGTGTTAATCCTTCCTTTACTGTAACCAACTCCCGAATCCGACACATCACTGACAAAAAGCAGATCAGGTAAGAAATAAGGTATCCGGTCAACCAATTTACTTTTAAATAAATGATCGATGACGACTCTAATCTATTTTCCTAAGTCGAAGCCCAATTCCGGTGCCCAACCGAAAGACGGTTCCGACAGCTTGGCGACTCCGCTGGGGACACAGGTAAGTGAGTTAGGCTAAGGTAATTTCCAGTTGTATTTTTATCGAAAAGGGTAAGTTTAAATTTTAAGGTAACATTTCGATCCTTATTGCTTACTTTTGATTATATTTTTCAAATTTATAGTTGTACTAACCGTTTTCTAATGATTTCAGCCTTCTAAACTCATTTTTTCCTCTAAGGCTCTATACTCGAGCTCCAAACCTTATTTTAAGTAGGGGTGAAAGTGACGCCTTCGTGTGAATTTATTCACCGTGAAGGCCTAGCAAGTAGCCTTCGGGATTCATATACCTTATGTCTTCATGTGAATTTATTCACCGTGCGGGTATAAGGGACTGTGTCCTCTCGAGTTTAACTTAGTCCACACAAGCCTGTGATGGGTTTAGGACTAAGGGTCTGGCAAGCCCAAAGGGGCACCGGTAAGGAGAACTCGAGTACCGTTTTTTAGAACCTAAACCGGGAGACCATGGAGAATTAGAGCCTACCCCGAAACCACATTCAAAAACCTAGGATATTTTTCCCTAACCATTTTTTATGGTTTTTTCCTTCGTCATTATTTATTTATTTTTATTTTACTAACTTTTTTGCCTTTGTGTTTGTTTTCTAGCATTTTCATCATAACAAGAGGCTATTGATCCCTAAAAAGCATTTGTTAAACACAAAATAATTCGAATTAATGGACAAAGGTGTTGTAATACAAGAGATTAAAAACGCCGAGGCACGACTATGGTCCGGGAAGACTCCGAAAGATAATGGAGACAGTTTTCAGGGGAACTATGTGTCAGAGCTGGTTAGTTACGCCTCTGTCAGCCTGAAACAGAACGATGTCCAAGAGCTGCGAAACATTTGGGACAGTTGGAAGAATGACAAAAAGTAGAAGTTCAACCAACGATATGGTGATATAGCCCTCTTACTCCATGTCAAGACTGATATGCCTCTTCTCCAAACATTGATTCAATTCCAGAACTCGGGATATAGTTGCTTCACCTTTAACCGGGAGGACATGATGCCCACTATCGAAGAGTATACTACACTATTACACTGCGAAAACATCAGATTAGAGAGGACATATATCAAACACATCAAGGGTCAGCCTTTCAAGAACGGACTGGCAAAGATTGCAGGGGTTGATGAAAAATGGGTGACTGATCGACTCCGACACAAAGGTAACGGGGAAGGAATCGAGTAGATTCACATAAGGCAACTAATGAAGAACCACCCTGATGAATGGAAAACTATAGACCTTTTTGCACTAGGTTTGTACGATTTGGTTATCTTTCCGAAGACTTTGGGGTACATCGACGCAGCCGTGGTAGAGCTATTTGAGCAACTTCCAATGCGATTCAACCCAGCACCGGCCATCTTAGCCGAGACCTTTCGGTCTCTTAATCATTGCAGAAGAGCTGGTAGAGGCAGGTTCGTTGGCTGTGTTCAGCTCTTTCAAGTCTGGATTCACAGCCACTTCTGGAAGACTAACGGGGTTGCTTACCGCCGATTTAGCACCACCTATTCACCTTTGGGAGAGTTCATTACTATGAAGTGGCATGAAGGTGTTACAAAGGAAAAATGGATGAAGGTCATTTCACATCTTCAGGATCGGGACATTACCTGGAGAGCCCCCTGGTTGTTCCTCGGTGACGTTCTTTTCCGGTGTGGGGATTCTGATACTATGACCTTACTCAGACTTTGGGGTGCAGTTGGGTATGCTCCGTTGTTAGCACTTAGGCAGTATGGGGTACGTCAGTTTATCCCAGCAACAAGTGGACTAGCTAGATCAGAGTTTGTGTATCACGGTGACAGCTACAAGAAAATGATCAAGGAAGCAACCGATTCATGGAAGAAAGTATTTCGGATGGATGTTGTAGCTACCAGAGACATGTTTACTCCGAATTATGAGGAGTGGCGAAGATTGAGAAAGAATGATAATGTCCCGGTACCAGACTGTGAAGACACCCGGACTATGGAGGAACATCTCTAGCATGTCCCTTCTGGACTTGAGATAGCCAAGGTAGAATTTGAAGCTGTGAATAACGAGCTGAAGCATAAGGTTAAGGAACTTGAAGCTGAATGTTATCAATGGAAGCTAGATGCCGACTCTCAGAAAGACAGAGCAGACAAACTGGAAAGAGAACAGAAAAGAGTCTGTTTTGAGCTTGAAGATTTGAGAAAGGGGTATCAAGATAAAGTCAAGGATAACTCCAAGTTGAAAGTAACCTCTGAATACTGGAAAGACAAAGCTCACAGTCTGAAAAGGAAGTTCGAGGGGCCTGATAAAAGAACTTGAAAGGAACAGCTGAAGACTGCTCAAAGGCGCTTGGCAGACAGTCAATATCAGAACCAACGCTTGAGAATCCGGGTGGCTGACTTAGAGAAACAACATGAGAATGAT